GAATGCTTACGATCTAGAATGCCCCCCAGACGATGCTCGCCTATGCGCTGATGAAGATCGGCCAAGCTATCCTCCACACGCCAACCCTTGGCTGCAATCATGTCCATGGTCTCATGCAACAAAGTCGTGGAGTGCTGTTTATTGTAACAATAGGTCACGTGAGAGCAGAAAAGAAGATATATCATTGATGTACGTATAAAATCGTGTGCACAAATATACATATATATTTAAATATATATATATATAAATGTAAGTATATATATAACTGCAGGGCACACCTTTACACACCTTATCCGTGTACTGGGACGCAGCCTCTACCAAAGCCATATACGACTCCAGATCCGGATGGACTCCCTTCTCCTCCATCTTCTTCAGCAACGCCTGTGCCTTAACAAAGTTGCCTTTGTCTCCGTAAATATACAGAAACCGGTCGTAGATGCCCTTCTCCACACTGTACTTCTCCACTGCTTCGTCGAATATCTTGATGGCGCGAGGGATCTGCCTATCATCCAGGAGGAGGTCCACTTGAGCCATATCGTCGGCATAGCTCTGTGTGGGTAGGCGTGCAGGTATCAGAATATAGTGTTATGTGTATGTATAAATGTTTAGAGGTTTTAGTATAAATTCTTAGAGAATGTAGTATATTAAAGAATATTGTGTATGTAAAAATGTATGTATCGAGATTTCGAGGATGTATGGGCAGGCGTTTAATACGGAATATGTGTGCCTACTATACAGGCACGCGTATTTGTATATGCGTGTATATATATGTGTGTATATATGTGCATATATGTGTAAATCGAAGCATGTGTGTACGGGAATGAAGAGATATAACATACACACATGAGAATGCAATTCCTATGTCGTGTTCAGGACGTACACTCATCCACATATACAGCCGCGTGTACAGCCGCGTGTAAAGCTATGACACTGTCTACCCTGCAAGCACCCGCACACTAACGCTAGAGCCGACGCTAGTCGCTCAGCCCCAGAGTGTTAGTGTTTATCCTTAGCCAAATACTACTACTATACCCACACAACACGGATGCCACTCTCGTCCGTCGCCAGTTATATCGGGACACTTGTTACCACTTACACTGTGTGTGTATGCATTCTTGCCAAACATCATAGCGTCGACCTCCTTGTTACGGTTTTCGTAAGCTTCGCCGTCAAAGGCCTCCTTAGGCATCCCATACGCATCCTTTTCTTGATTGCGTATCTCATTCACCTTCTCCAACTGTGTCAAGTTCATGTGTGATGTTAACAATACTTTACAGGTAAGTTATGCAAGCATGTACATGCATATATACCTATATTAAAACACTCGTAAGAAGAGAATGTGATAATATATATGGAAATCTTTAAGGGCACAGGTATACGAAGGGTATGTGAATATATACACTGTTTACATTAGCTGGCCAAAACCTTCATAAGCAAGTCTATATATATAATTATAATTATATACTTATATATATATATAATTATAAATATATATATATACCTATATATGTCTGTGTCTGTCTGTTTGCATGTTATATATAATATACA